GGAGGAGGAGGAGGAGGAGGGAGGAGGAGGAGGAGTCTCCTTGATCACTCTAAGTGTCTCTGCCTCGCAACCGACGGTCGCAGGCGGGCCTCCCGACCTCCCGAGTCCCGTCTCCTCGGCCGCAGCCCCCCGGACGCGGGGCGGGGTTTTGTTTCGACGGACGCTCCGCGCGGAGCGCATGGACGGGATCGCGCATCCATGGGAACGCGCGTCGGCGTCCAGACCGCGATGGCGGGGATAGAGACTGCATTTTTATCCATTGGCGATCCTCGGGCGTGACCAGGGGGGGGGGGCGGGTCAGGTGGGGGGGGAGGGGGCCTGTCACGTCACGATTCGCGCCAGCGGCGTCTCGGAGTGCTGAAGAATGGGAACTCCCAGACGGCGACGGCGCGAATCGTGACGTGACCAGGAGAGGGGGGGCGGGGTTGGTGGGTGGGCGGGGCCGGTCACAGGCGCTATCGCGAAGAATGAAATCGTGTTCGTGTCGATCTTCGAAGAAAAAGAAGAATAAGAAGAAGAATCAGAAGAAGAAGAAGAAAAAGAAGAAGAAAAAGACGAAGAAGAATAAGAAAAAACATAACACACAGCATACACAAACTTTCGGAGCTCCGCGCGGATTTCTTGGACCTGCGCGCCGAGGCACCCCTGGTGATGCCTCCAGCGCCGCTCCTGGGCCGCCCCGCGCGCGCCAGGGAGGAGGGCCCGGCGCCGGCCCGAGCAGAGCCCGCGCGGAGCTCCGGAAGCTCTCCCGCTCGTGCCCTGCTCTGCTCTTCTCTCTCTCGGGTGCGGCCGTCGGTCGCGAGCAGAGCCAGCTGCCACGGAAGACTCGGGCTGGACGAAAGGGGGGCATTGGGACAGGGGGGGGTATTAGATCTGCTGCATGCAGCTGGTTTCGGCCCCGCCGAGGCGCCCATTCCCCGATACATGGCCGCCTCCCGGCGCCGGGGGGCGCCGGGAGAATCAGCCACGTGAGCTGATTCTCAAACCCCCCCTTTGCTAGCCCCCCCTTTCGCCCAGCCCGGAAGACGGCCCGAGGAAGTGGGGCTGGCTGAAGGGCCAGAAGATGGACGGCCGGGGCGCCGCCCGCCGGCGGTGGGCTCCGCGGCCGCGTCTGCGATCTGGGGGGGCGTGCCCTGCGGGGGCCCTCCCGAGGTCGGTGGTTCAAGTCGGCAGCGAGCCTGGGGAGAAGGTGTCGAGGCGGGCATGTCCCTCTACAGGAGGAGCGCAGTCCACCCGCACAGCGAGGATGGGCAGCCTTCCCAAGGGTACCCTTGCATCCCTGCCTCCTCGGTCCATCCTCGGCCGCTTCCGTTGGCCGCGCCCCGGTGGGGAAGCTTCGAGGTGGGTTATCCCGCGGCCCGTGCATCCTTATCGCACATCCTTACTATACGGGTTGACTGCATTCAAGAACAATCAAACATGTAGTCTGGGGGCGATGTTTCGACTCTTGCTCTCTGGTGAGTAAGGCTTGTTACCCGGCCCCCCACCCCCGGGTAACGCTCACGATCGTACGTTCTTTCGGGGGGTGGAGGGCGGACCCCCCCCTCTCAGCAGGTATGGCAATTGATGTGCCGATGGCGCGGACGCACCCTGGCGGGCGCACGCCGCGGCGGCCGTTACCGTTACCCGCCAGCCCCCCCCCCCCTGGGTAACAGCGGTTGCCCAAAATAATATAAACAGTCTCCAAATCGGCGGCGGCGAGCCTGGGGAGAGAGTGTTAAGTCGGGCATGTCCATCTACAGGAGGAATACTCAAGAATGGCCAAAAACCAAAAATCGTCCGGGGACGATGTGTCGACCATTGTTGATTATGTGTTTGCGTATTGTTTGAACTCTGTTTTATTGTTCTTCCGAAAGCCGCCTGAAGGGGGACATGCCAGACATGAGGCAAGTGAGAATGGGGCGGGGCTTCCCAGAGGGCGCGGAAGTCTCCTGGCCTTCCCAGAAGTTTTCCATGCCTTCCCCGCAGGCACAGAAAACATCCCAGAAGGCGCGAGGGGGATCCTGAGAAGGCCCGCCGCCTTCTGAGAAAAGGCCTTCTCCCACTCACCCCTCCCCCTCGCTCGCCGCCGATCAAAGATGGGGTCCTGAGGGGTGGGGCCCGAAGGACGAGGTGCTTCAAACAGTGTGAAACCACCCTTGCCGTCGTTTTTTATTCATTGTTTTGCCGATCGGCACGGGCCCTCGCACCCCCTCTCTCCTCCTCCTCCCATGGAGTAAATCTTGGCTGTTTTTTTTGCGCCTGGATCAGGTAGGTGGGGTCTCCCCCACAGGACGCACGGTTCCAAACAGTCGCACGAATCAGAGGTCCGGAACCAGACTCCCCTCACTCCCCCCCCTTCCGCCCAATGTCGAAACGCCGAGTAAGCAACGCTCACCTTCCTAACCTCAGGACCCCTTCCTAACCTCAGGACTCCATCCCTCAGCACCCCGTCTTGGAGCCGAAAGAGGAGCGAGCTCTGGGCATCGGCCCAGCACCCGTAGAGGTTGCGAGGCTTCGGGCTGCGCTCCGACAGCCCCCCCCCCAGGAAGGCCCGGCTTGCCTCGACGGGCCCACCGAGTAGCCCCAGCTGGCCTCGACGTGCCCCCCGAGAAGTAGTCCAGGGAGGTCTCAGCGCCTCAACCCTGGAGCGCGGAGCGCCCCAGGGGCGCCGCCGGAGACTGCGCCAGGGCCAGGGCGTTGGGACCGCCCCGGGCCACTCGGAGGGGCCGCTGAGGCCAGCTGGGACCACGAGGAGGAGGAGGAGGAGGAGGAGGAGGAGGAGGAGGAGGAGGAGGAGGAGGAGGGAGGAGCAGGAGGACGAGAGCAGGAAGAGGAGGGGAGGAGGAGGAGGAGGAGGAGGAGGAGGAAGAGGAGGAGGAGGAGGAAGAGGAGGAGGAGGAGGAGGAGGAGGAGAAGAAGGAGGGGGGGGGGGGTGTCTGTGCGCAGCGCGGAGCTCTACCACACAGAGGGCACTGTACACCACCGTGCCCGGCCAGGGCCCTCCATGGCCCCAGGATTGGTCGTGCAGAGTTCCTGGTCTCGGCCAGGAGGGCACGCATCAGAGGACGGCCAGTTCAGACCACGGTGGTCGGCCTTCGGGTGGGGCCCCTTGTCGCCACGGCTGGACGCGGCTCGGACAGCTGGCGCGTTTGGACCTCGGGAGGGGTCCATGTGCCGAGCTGGAGCTGCCGCTGTCTCTCACCTCGCCCTGCCTCGAGGGTGCACCACGACAGGGCAGAGGATGGCCCCTGGCTCGGCAGGGTGGTGGTGGCGTATGGGGTGCTTCCTGCGGGCAGAGCCACAGCGGAACAGCCCTGTCGCTGCACATCCGGATTCGTCCTGGAGCCTTGAGCAGGGGCCCATCTCCTCCTCTTCCTCCCTCATCTCTCCATTCCCTCCTCCTCTCCCGCTGTCCCCTTCTTTCTGTGGCTTGCTGGCGGCATGAGTCATTCATTAACTTTCTCCTTAACTGCCAGGGTATACATGTCGAGTCGAACGGGCACCCTCGGGACGCTTTCGGAGCCCTGGGAGCGCCCCACTCTGACAGGACTCGGCCCCGAGTGTTGCAAGGGCGACGTCGGCACCAGTGTGTCGCAGAGTGGTTGGGTGGCTCAGCTCTTTCCTGAGGTGCAGAACGGTAGTGCGTGCCCAGAACGTTGTTCTGGCCTCAGGTTCTGGAAGGCAGGTGTGTCGCAGCGTTGCCGAACATTCTTGGGCACCCAATCCGCGTAAATATCAATGTGCTACTAGCGTCGCCAGGTCCAACGTGACCCACACATAAGCTAGCTACCACGGTCCTGGTTTGCGAATGGCATGTAATCGCATCCTTGGCGAATGGCATCTGATCGAATTGCTTATGACCTCAACTTACCACAGCGTGTATGATGGAGTTGGCGTTGGAAATGGTAAGAACAATCGCGCTGTATTTGTCAGTTTGTCATTGGCTGTAGTTTCTGCGTCAACCAACTGATTGGTTTTATATTCAAGGTGCCATTTGGATGGCTCCGTAGGTTGACGTTGCGGCAGGCTTTCAGCCTTCGCTTGAGCACTCGCGTTGACGGTGGCATTGGTTTGAACACTTTGCTATACACTCGCGTCAGGCTGAGTCTTCTGTTTCGCTATCAGCGGGTCGCAGTGGGTTCCTGGTGGTCGTCAAAGGCCCATGTCCGCCCAGACTCCCTCCGGGGGGGGGCGGGTGCAGCTCCCGCCCGGCAGGCTCCGGTGCGCTTCTGGCGCGACCCGCCCATGGCTTTCGGAGCCCCTCCCCTGGGCGCCTTTGCGTGGGGGCACTCCGTACAGGCCCTCTCCCGCCCGACTCGCCCGTCCGCCCGCTCGGTGGCTCGAAGTCCACCCGCCTGCGTGGCCCTGACCTGGCTGACGACGACGACGCGGCTCGGATTGTAGACGACGACGCCGACGACGACGCCCGGCGACGACGATGGTGACGACGAAGCTGGAATGCCCAAACGCACTAGTTAGGTCCGCGATCCCAGCCTGGTGCGCGCTGGTGGGCAGATTCGTGCCGCAGCGTGCGCCCGATCTCTTGAGCCACATCGCTTACGGGCTGCTCGCCCTGGTAGCGCACCAGGTTCTGACGATGCCGTTACCTCCAGCAGTGATTCATCTCCGCTTGTTGTCTCGCTGGCCGCGATCTTGTGCGGCTGAACTTGATACAGTTGGCGCTCAAAACAAGAACTTGGCCTGCCACCGGGTGCCCCACAAGAGTTTCTTATGTTCCGATGGGTTCGCTGGACCCTGGAGCACCACACGAAGTTCCGAGTCGATGATGGATGTGCCCCACGATTTCTTATAGCACGATGTCTTATCGTATGTGCTCACTCTATCACTGAAAGAAGCGCGGGACCAGGGGGGTGAGGCATGACGGAGGTATTTGGCGCTTCACGCTGGCAGGATTACTTGGAGCGTTCGCCGGTGGCATAAATACTTCTCCATGGGTTAGGGGTTCGGGCTGAGGGGCACGGTTTTCTTTCGGGTGGCAGGAGCATGCCGTTGTGATTATTGGGATCTTCATGGCAGCGCTTTTCGCCTCTTCTAAGAGGGGTTCCAGTGTTGAAGGACAGGGGCAGTGCCTCCCTTCGTGCTGGGCCGCGTCGGAAAACAAGCGAAGAAGCCAGGCACGTATCCCCAGCATGCCCACAGCGGCAGCTGTTCGAAGTGAAAGTATTGACGTGCAGTGCTGAGGATCTTATGAAGACGATAAGAAGCTTTTTGCGTCGGCGGCTAGGCAGGGGTCGTCTGCGCTGGCGGAAGGAGCTAACTGAACGGGGGCAATGTTGTAGCGAATTGGCCAGCATGCAAGAGCGGGAAATGGGACAGAGCAGGCGGCCGCAGAGAAGGGGGAGGCAAGGCGAAAAAGACAATACGAAACACGCAGGACCAGTTGGGGCAGCCACAGCAGGACCAGACGGATAGGAACGCGGGGCACCCGCATCATTTGCATGCCGACAAGTAAAGAGGCTTTCGTTGATAAGATGGCGTTCTACGTGGCCCATGTCACCGAAACTCCTCAGACCATCCTGGGGGCAATCCGTCCGAACAGGTACGGGTTCGGGAGTCAACGCGACCACCCGCTCCTTGCTTCGGGGGCGCGCCGCCCAAAGGATTTCTGGGTTGCCCATGCTGCCGCTGTGAACATCGGCGAGTCCGTCGACGCTCCAGACTTCACCGATTTTCGGTGCGCCGCGCCTGGGAGAGGGTGGGCAAGAGCGAGCGGCACGATGAATAACCTAAAAGCCAGTAGCCATGCTTATCCCCAATAGATCACGAGATCACGCCGCCTCTGATGCAGCTGACCAGCCATTGCTGGGTGTAGAGGTCTAGATCCAAACTCACGCCAGTCCATCAAGCTACTCGGGTTTTATTTTTAAGCGCGCATCTGGGTGTCTTCATGGCGACCACATCGCATGTTGGAGTTACCAAGCGTATTTGAATAACAACGGATCTCGAAGCAGGCGGGCGTAATCCGATAGGTGAAGGCATGGAGGTACACAGTAAGACACGCCCTTGATAGATTCTCCAGTTTCGGTGTCATTGTTGCGTGCCCTGTCAGGGGGGCGCGCTCAAGCCAAGCCCTTTCCTCTCATCCTCTCTGTTCGGAGCGGCACTCATATGAAAGCACAGGGCAACGCTGGTCTCAGCACATACGAGCCATATTATCGCTCTCGCTCTCTCTCTCTCTCTCTCTTTCACTCGCTCTGTATCTCTCTCTCTCCCTTTCTCTGTCTCTGTCACCTCCTCGGTTTATTCCCCGTTTGCTCAATCTGGCGCTCATCTCTTTCACTGCACGGCTTCGAAGGCATGGTTGTTTCGTGTCGGAGTCTCGCTTGAGCGTTTTGGTCTCACGTGGCTTCCCCTGGCCTCCCAGATTCAAAGAGTATTCAGGGCCTGCTGCCGCAAGGGTACGGTGTGGTGCTCGGTTGCGGGCACCTCGACATAGCATCTTGGAAAGCCACCGTTGGGCACCATTCTGGCCCCCCCCCCGAGTCGCCCGCAGGCTTGTTCTTCCGCTTACGGCGGCGGCATTGTATAAGGAACGTCTTCCTGGGGCCCAGGACCCTGGCGCATCCCTTGTTGTTTCAAGGCGAGGTGGGTGTCCCACGTTTGGCCGCCCGTCGGTCCTCGAGACCCTGGCTTCCTTATCGAGGGCATCCTTAGCTGAAACCTCCGCCGCACGGGTTCGGCGACCTGGCGCAGGCGCGAGCCAGGGGCCTGGCGGCGAGAGGTGAGCGGGCGGCGGCGGCGGCGGCGGCCTGCGTGGGCGGCTAGGGCGTGGCCCGCAGAAAGAATTCTTTGCCACCACGGGCCTTTTAGCCCTCGAAGAGGAAAACAACCTCCGCCGCATTTTGGTTTGATTGCTACGCTTCTGTGCCACAGCATGTCCTAGGAAGAGGCTCTCTACATTGTTGTGAGCGCGCGTGAGCGTGCGTGCAGATCCACACGCGCAGCGCAGTAGTGTACCGAACGTGCCACGTGTGTGCGTGTGTAGTTAGGCCCGCATGCGCGTGCAGCTGGGGCAAGCGCACAGAAACCACGCGCACAGAAGTGAGCGCATTATGGCCAGGAGGAGGAGGAGGAGGAGGAGGAGGAGGAGGAGGAGGAGGAGGAGGATCGAGAGAAGGAGCTGGAGAAGGGTCGGGCACTGAGGAGAGATTGAAGTGGGGGCTGAGGCGGATCGAGGACTGAGGCTGCACCTTTTTTTAAGCATGGCAGCGTCTCCACGGTTCTCCGCCCCATCACTGGCCCACGCTTGTCTGTCTGGGGTCGGGGTGCTCATATGGCCAGCCATGCGCAAGGTGCGCCAAGCTGACGTCCAGATCTCGCCACATGACGGCCATGTCTTGCCGGCGGCGCCCTCAGAAGAAGAGCCTCCGCCGAGGGCTGCCACATCAGGGGGTCTGGTTGTGGGAGGGGGCAGCGCTCCACCCCTCCCTTACCAGCCTGGAACATATCCCTATCCCTATGCTGTGCACCTCCTCGTCACGATGCCAATCTTAGGGGTTCCCTTATGTTTTGAGGGCGAATCCCTAAGATTTTCATCGCCTTTTGGCGTGTCAATCTTAGGGATAGGGATACGTTCGAGGCATCGTCTACCCTGTCCCTATCCCCATTGGGCCATGGTATCTCAGCCCCACCGGCCCACCCCCTAGGTGGGCACGACGCCACAGATCAGAACAGCGCTGTTAGTTCCAATGCACCGGGGCTGAACAACGCGACGCCTCCACAGCGCCTCCACAACGCGAGTGTCGGGGCCTCGCGGGTCACCGACGGTTGGGCACAGGAGGAGAAAAGAGAGCTGGAGCATCAGTGACGCTGGTGCAAGTTCTCTTCCGCAGCCTTGAAGCCATGTCGAAGCCCACGCAAGCTCGCGCGCGTGCGAGACGTAAGACAGGAAGGCGAATCACGGGTGATGCTTTGCCTTTTTGTTGGGGGGCGGGGGAAGGAGTTGGTGCAGGAGGACACAGGCCCACTTTTTCCAGGTGTTCGCTCGGCGCGACGCCGCTCTGGTCGACGTGCCGATTCGGCGTGGCTGCCGCGCGATGCACACGCGAACACACCAGTGGCAGAGGCAGCGCACCTGGAGGCGACAGGTCGTCGTTTTTAATGAACTGCTTTGCCGACCGGCGCGGGCCTCGCATCCCCTCTCTCCTCCTCCCGTGGAGTAGATCTTGGCTGTTTTAGCGCCTGGATCTAGTCCAGGGGCGGCGGGGGGGAGGGGGGCCTCGCACCCCCCTCCCCCCGCCGCCCTGGACTAGATCTTGGCTGTTGGGGCGCCCGTTTCGAGCAGGCGGAGTGCCCCCCCCCCCCCCCCACAGGACGCACTGCTGCAAGCAGTCGCACGCACCAAGCAGGGGTCTGGAGCCAGACCCCCCCCCCCCCGTCCGCCCAATGCTAAGTCGGGCCTGTCCCTCCACAGGAGGAATTTAAAAAAAATCAAAGAAATACTCGGGGGACTACTTTTTGACTATGTTTAAGCATTGTGGGAGTAGTTCTTTGGACTATTTTTGATTTTTCGTCCGGAATCCCCCTGTAGGGGTGCAGGCCCGACCTAAGCCCACTGTCGAAACGCCGAATAAAGAAATGCTCATCAGCGTGACCGAGAGGAAGCGGGCAGAGCTCGGGGAAAGCCGCGAGAGGGCTGGCGGGCGATGTCGCCCCGACCTGGCCCGTCGGGGTGATGTCACCCCGACCTGGCGGGTGACGTCTCCAATTCGGGGGGCGTCGCCCTCCTCTCGGGTGCACGGGCCGAGCGGTCGGCGGAGCGTAGCAGTGACAGCCGCAGGGCTGACGACGTCAGGACACCAACCATCACAAGAGGCGCTCCAAAGACGGCCTCGCCGGCGAGGATCGAAGGAGTGGCCGTCTCTTCCGCCGCGGAAGGCGGCGGAAGGGCGGCGGAGGTAGAACGAGGCCGCCGCCGCCGGCGGAGGGCGGCGGAAGGGCGGCGGAAGGTGGCGGAAGTAAAACATGCGTCCCCAAGGGATGAACACGTTTTTTGGGTTCAGGGTTTCTGGAATCGCCCATATGTGAACAAGTAGCCAGTACGAGTGCCCCGCCCCGAAGGTGGAGGCCAGGGCCGACGCGGGGTGGTGGCGAAGCAGAGCTACAAACATAGTTCCGCAAGTCAGAGAAGATTGTGCGACCCATCACCAGGGCTCATTTCGATTCCTCCGATTCGAGTCGATTTCGATGGCTCCCGATTTCGATTCACTTCGGCTTGGGAGCCCGATTTAGTTTTCGATTTTTCAATGAGGCATTACTACTCTGCCGATTCCCGCCGATTTGACTCCTCCCGATTCGGCTGCCGATTTCCGCCGATCCGATTGATTTCGATCGCCGATCCAACTTATGGATTCGATTCTGCGCTCTCCTGCATCACCGTCATCGCCTATCAATTTGCAACAGTCCGGCAGCTAGTTTCCGCATGTTGGGTAACTCTTGCATTGGTCTGGTAGTGGGCAACGAGCGACGGGGGATTCGTCTGCTCGGGCCCGATCTCTTTCAGCGTTTTGAGTCGAAACATCGGCCTCCAGCCACACGCGGCCTTGCCAAAAAACCGAACTCAAATCTCAAAAGCGCAGGTGTTCTCAACGTCGGTTTGGAGGCAGGCCCTGAACAGACGAGCGGCGGCGAGCATTCAGGAGGCAAAGAAACACACAGACACAATTAATCGTCAATTCCCGAGAAAATATGGGAAAATATGGGAAGTGGGGGGGAAGACAAAGACCCAGAAAATACGGGAAAATATGGGGAATAGTTTGATTTGTGTGTTTTTTATTTGTGTGTCCTGGGGCCCCTTCAAGCATGCCTGCACCTCTTTGAGACCTCCTCCGCGCGCCGACCCCGCCCCCCCGCCAGGAAGCACGAGAACGAGGCGGCGACCTCGGCTGCGGCGCCCGATCCGCGACCGGGACCCCCGGCTGCCGCGCGTCGCGGATCGCCGGCTCCTCCTCCTGCCCCTCCGAAGAAGAGGAGGAGGAGGAGGAGGAGGAGGAGGGGGAGGAGGAGGAGGAGGAGGAGGAGGAGGAGGAGGAGGAGGGGGAGGAGGAGGCGGAGGAGGAGGAGGAGGAGGAGGAGGAGGAGGAGGAGGAGGAGGAGGAGGCGGAGGAGGAGGGGAGGAGGAGGAGGAGGAGGAGGAGGGGAGGAGGAGGAGGAGGAGGAGGAGCAAGAGGAGTGAGGATCAGGAAGGCACAGAGGCAGTCCAGAGAGAGGGCCTCGCCTGTGAGGATCGAGCGAGGCGATGCCTCGTCCTCGGCGGGAGGGCGGCGGAGGGCGGCGGAAGCAGCACGGGGACGCCTCCGCCAGCGGACGGCCGGCGCCAGGCGGCGGGAGGAAAGCGCGGCCTCCCAAGAGGGGGCAAGGATTTGTGTTGCAGGGTTGTTTCGAGCCCGCCATATGTGGCGAAGCGTCGCCAGCAGGGTGCCCTGGTGTGTAGCCCATGCGTGGCTGGCGCTGATCATCCTGATCATCCTCCATCCTCCCCCTCCGCCTTTCTCACCCTTCCCCCTGCGTTGCGTCGTCCTCCCCTCCTCGCCCCTTCAACTCCCTATTCCTCCTCACTGTTTCTTCCCCCCTCCCTCCTCGCCGTTCTCATCGCCGACGTCTTCCTACTCTTAATTTCCACCCCTTCTCGTCCATCTCACTCCCCCTCGTACCATCCTTCTCCTCTTCCATCTGTATCCTCTACTCCCTCCTCGTCCCCCCTCCTCGTTGTTGCTGATCCTTCCTCCTCCTCCTCCTCCTCCTCCTCCTCCTCCTCCTTGTAAGCCACTCCTTCTCGTCAAAACACTGGCCGTGCTGATTGGACAGTCTTGGCTTGTCGCGTGACACTTCCACGCATAATATGTCATTTCAGAGCGTGGAACGTGCACCAGTTACACGGATGAAGGGCGGATGTCTTCAACATTTAGTCTTCGCCTCAGCGCCGCGTAAGAGCTTCCAACTTGTAATTGAATATCCGGCGGACCAGTTTCAGAACATGTTGCCGTGCAGGTTCTTCTCCAGAAGTTCCAACACTGATACGCGGATCGAGGACGACCCGCTGTCGAAGACGAGTTAACAGGTGCATCGAGGGAGGCTGGTCCGGTTTCATCCCTGGCCCTCGCCTGATCTGTTTTATGTATTGCAGTTATTGAGCTTGAAGTTCCCGCCAGCGCACGAGTAGATGACGGTCTCTTTCCAATGCAATGTTTGGCTCCCGCCCAAACGCATTACCACAAACAAGGTTTGGTTGCACCTCCGACAGCTCGCGGGGCGCCTCGCGTCTCCTTCTCGTTCTCAACTCTCCGATGGGGCACCTTCAGATACAGTGGAGACCCATGCCAAGAAACAGCCTGCTCGCCTCAAGGGTGCCCTGGGCCCTTGGGTTTCGATTGCTTTGCCACGGAAAGCGTGACGTTGCCACACCAAAAATCAAGGGACGCCCTGGGGTCTCAGGGTTGGGTTTTGTGTGGGAGGTTTCGTGCTGAGGGGCCACATGTGGAAGGTTGCCTTGTGGAAGGTTTCTTGTGGAAGGTTGCCTTGTGGAAGGTTGCCTTGTGGAAGGCTTCTTGTGGAAGGTTTCTTGTGGAAGGTTTTCTCGTGGAGGTTTGTTTGTGGAATGGCCCCTACTGCAGCGCTAAAGGGTGAGGAGAAAGCAGCCACAACCGCTGAGCGGAGGGAACCCTTCCCGACGCTCCCCTACAGTGGGGACCCATGCCAAGAAGCACCCTGCTTGCCTCCAGGGTGCCCTGGGTTTCTTGGGTTTCGATGGTTTTGCCCTGGGAGGCGCGACGCTCCCACACCAAAAATCCATGGACGTCCTGGGGTCTCAGGGTTGGGTTTCTTTTGGAAGGTTTCTTGTGGTCGGGCCCCTACTGTGGGGCCGACCCCGACCCCCCCAGCGGTGCTGACCTGCGCGCGGCCCTGCATAGCAAACGGGCGCCGCGCACAGGCCATCACCGTTCTGGGGGGCCGGGGCCCTCCCCTGGAGAGCGCCAGGGGGCGGTTTCCTCCACGCCGGCGTGTGTGGTCGTCTCTTCCTCGCTCCTGGGAGGGAGGAGGAGGAGGAGGAGGAGGAGCAGGAGCAGGAGCAGGAGCAGGAGCAGGAGCAGGAGCAGGAGGAGGAGGTGGGGTGAGGAGGAGGCGGAGGAGGAGGAGGAGGAGGAGGCGGAGGAGGAGGCGGAGGAGGAGAAGGCGGAGGAGGAGAAGGAGGAGGTGGGGTGAGGAGGCGGAGGAGGAGAAGGAGGAGGTGGGGTGAGGAGGAGGCGGAGGAGGAGAAGGAGGAGAAGGAGGAGGAGGAGGGGGGACAACGAAGCCGAAGCCGGTTGTCCCCGCCGGCTGCACGGACGCTGGGCGGCTCCTTTTCAAACCCAGGCTCCTCGCGCACACGGTTGCCGATGGTTTTTGAGGGCCTCAGAGGTGCCGGAACGATTCCATCGGTTTTGGAGAGTCGCCTGACGCCTGAGGCTCTCTCTGGTACTCCGACGTCTGTGGCCTCGGTCCCAGAAGTCGCCCACCTTCTGGCCGTGGTGCTCCAGAAGCTGTGGGTCCCTGCCGCCGGAATCCACCTCCGGGTGGGGGCATGGTGTGGTTATTCCTCCCCGCCCTCCCCCTCTCAATCTTCTTTCTCCCTGCCCCGTCTCCTCCTCCGCCTCTTTCTCCTCTCCCCGCTCGCTGCTCCTCCTGGGCCACGCAGGAGAGGGTGATCACCTCACGCGACCGTCAGGCAGGACAGACACATCCGTGTCCGCGGCCTCAAGGTCTGGACACTTCGGTCGCGACCCCATGGATGCAGGGCGGCTTTGCGCGGATGCCCAGCGTGGATCGTACCCGTGGGATCCCGTATCCATGGGATCGCGCCAGTGTCCCTTCCCCTTGCTGCAGGGTCTCCCTGACCCGAGGTGTCTCCACGAATTTCAGCAGTTCCGCAGGCCACTTGGTGCCTGCGAGTGGGTTCTCGTCGTCCTCGGGGGGCGGTGGCGGAGGAGGAACGGGAGGAGGACGAGAACGAGAAGGGGTGCCGAGGAGGAGGAGGAGGAGGAGGAAGAGGAGGAGGATAACGATGAGGAGGAGGAGGAGGAGGAGGAGGAGGAGGAGGAGGTAAGGGGGGGGCCCCCGGAGGAGAATGGAAAACATGGAGGAGGAAGTGGATGATGATGATGTTGATGAATCATGATGATGATGTTGCTGCTGCTGCTGATGATGATGATGATGATGGTGATGGTCATGGTCATGGTCATGGTCATGGTGATGATAATGGTGATGGTCATGGTGATGATGATGATGAGGAGGAGGAGGAGAAGGAGGAGGCGGAGGAGGAGGAGGAGAGAACGCTGTGTGCCCTGCGCCTAAAGTCCGATCAACGTCAAAACAGGAGGACAAGGACAAGGACACCCGCATGAGGGGGCACCACGTCAAGACACCTACGAAAGTGTCTTACGCGCTCCTGCCAAACTCCCCTGCGATTGGCTGTGCAACAGCCGTGCCTTTTCGCTAGGGCCGGCAGGGGGCACACCACGTTGCTCAAGGGCTGAGCTCCGAGGTGGCCCCGTCAGAGAGGCTCGCTACCTTACGTTGACGAGTCCCTGCGGGTCAGTGCGGGGGGGGGCTGCTGCTGGCCCTTCCGCGTGCCCTAGGGGAGGGGACGCGCGGGCTTAGCAGTGGTCCCAAGCCAGGGGGGAGGAGACGACGACACGACCATTCAAAAGGAGGAGAGGGGGGAGGGACGGGAGGCCCGCGACCCCAAACTGTTGCTGGGGGGGGGCCTGCTTATTCTATCATTTTAATTATATGCTCCCCTCTCCCGCTCGGCTCACTTCTCGATCTGGCCGAGAGCGGTCCCATGCATTGTCGTATCCGTATTATGATACTCTGTTGTAATATCCCACCGACCCCCTTCGAAGTGCATGTGGGGTAAAGCATACTGGTAGCCACGGTATATGGTAGTGCCACCGAGGAAGCACATAGGTGGACTTCATGATGTTTTTTTTTCTCCTTCGACTCCCTGCAGTAATGTACATGTCGGTACTCAAAAAATACTCCCCAGTGCGATGGGCGGTGACAGTGCGAACACTCCGTGATGCCCATCCTGTATGCCTCGAGTTGCACTCCGAGAAACCTCGCTAATGCATCTCGCGGCCGCCTGACTAGCACTCCGAGAAAACCTCGCTAATGCTTCTCTTGGCATTCCTGCAGGCTCCAGCGGGTGCACACACTGGTGTGGCCGCTGGGGGAGCTGGCCGTAGTCGTCTCCTCCGACTTGGGGTAGCCGAATTTTGCCTCGAAGATCTCGGTGCCATCCAGCAAGGTCTGCGTGCAGTCTCTTAGCTTTTGGCGCTCCTTCAGCTTCTTCACTTCCTCTAGGTCGAGATTGTCCTCGTTGCTCAGCTCCTTCAAGGCGACCTTCATGACTTTGTGAAGGTTCCCTTCGTCGTTCTTTGATGTCTTCAGCGCCAGCTCGCACCAGCTCTGTACAGTAAAGGCCTCTCTCCCTGCTCTTTCCCACGCGTCCACAGGGTACCCTGCGATGGGGTCGCAGCCTTTGACCTTGTGCGTCATCGGGCAGGACACGGGGATCAGCTCGAAGAGCTCCTCTGGACTCGTCTCCTGGGCGGCGTCGAAGAACCGGTCGTGGCACTCCTTCATGGCGTCGTCGAGCTGCTGCGGCAACCTTTCTGCTACGAGCGCTTCCCATGTGTTTCCCACCTTGAGCTCCACCAGCATCGACGGCCCACTCTCGAACGGGAGAAGCTCACTCCCGCACCCGCTCTGTGGCCACTTTTCGCCGTCGTCTTCAGACGTGTCCTTCATCAGGTCCACCCACCAGCCCATCTGGATGGCTCTCCTGCGCTTTGACGAGCTGTAACCAACGCACATTGCACCAGAACTGCCACTTGTCCCCCCTCGAGTTGGGGTCGGGGCCTCTGCACCACAGCTTGTTTGTGGAGGCAAGCCCGCACGAGCAGGCTCCTCCCCTTTTTTCGTCCCATTTCGTACGCCTGCATGCGTTGAACAGCTGCATTTTGCCGCTCTATTTGTCCACGAAGTCCAGTGCCGTGAGGTACGCCGACTGCTTTTCTCCCATGTCTTTCGCCGTCTTGTAGTCGCCCATCTCTTGCAGCTCTTTCTCCTTTTCCTCCAACTCTTGTTTTGCCTCCGTCAGCGCATCTTCGTCCTTGATGTACATGGCCATGCACTTGTTGAGCATGGTGTCGCATTCTTCTGCGCAGCGAAGACAGTTTTCTCATGCTTTGCTAAAGGCTGCAAAGCTGCCTCCATTCATGTGATGCTCCCCCAGCAGCGCCTTTGCCATCCCATTTGACCTCTCTATGGCCATCTTGTTTCTTCCTGTGCGAGACTTTTTCGTTGGGCCTTCTTCTTCCGCCAGGGGCGCTTCCGCTGCTTTGATATGCCCAAGGGCCTGGGCTGCCCACGCGGCTCCTTTCGCGTTCCTCCTCTGTTCTCTGCGGACCTGCCCTCTCGAAACATACCTCCCTCCTCCATGCAGCGTCTTTTGTTCATCGCTCCATTCTTCCCATTCCTCCTGCCCCAGCTCCAGCTCACAGTCGATGCGCACTCTCTTCCATTCACTGCCTTTGCCTCCTGGGTCTTTTTCCCAACCATCCTGTGGTGTTGGGTCCTCGTTTTGAAGAAACGGTCCCCCTGTCCCTCCTCCTCCTCCTCCTCCTCTCCTCATCCTCCCCCTCCCTCCTCCCCCTCCTCCTTCCTCCCTGCGTCTCGCCCACCCAGTACAGCTTTTCGTGGCCCCATACGGGGGGCTCCACCGAAGGTCCCAGTGGCACCGCCCGCATGCGGCCGCCACCACCAAGCACAGCCCTTGCTCCCTGCGTTTCACCCACCCAGTACAGCGCTTCGTGGCCAAATAGGGGGGCTCCACCGAAGGTCCAAGTGGCACCGCCCGCATGCGTCCGCCACCACCCAGCACAGCCCTTGCTCCCTGCGTTTCTCCCACCCAGTACAACGTTTCGTGGCCCCATACGGAGCTCCACCGAAGGTCCCAGTGGCACCGCCCGCATGCGGCCGCCACCACCCAGCATAGCCTTTGCTCCCTGCGTTTCACCCAACCAATACAACGCTTCGTGGCCCCATAGGGAGCTCCACCGAAGGTCCCAGTGGCACCGCCCGCATGCGTCCGCCACCACCCAGTACAGCCTTTGCTCCCTGCGTTTCGCCCACCCAGTACAGCGCTTCGTGGCCCCATTGGGAGCTCCACCAAAGGTTCCATTCCAGTTGCACCGCCCGCGTGCGTCCGCCACCACCCAGCACAGCCCTTGCTCCCTGTGTTTCACCCATCCAGCAAGCGTTTCGTGGCCCCATAGGGGGCTCCACCGAAGGTCCCAGTGGCACTGCCCGCATTCGTCCGCCACCACCCAGCACAGCCCTTGCTCCCCGCGTTTCACCCACCCAGTACAGCGCTTCGTGGCCCCATACGGGGGGGGGAGGGGCTCCACCGAAGGTCCCAGTGGCACCACCCGCATGCGTCCGCACCACCCAGCACAATCAGCACAATTGCGGTATTCACAACTGCATCTGGTCCTGGTTCATTTCTCGTGTGTTCCCTGTGTCTCTCGATCATCTCGTAGTACTGGAACCCCTTTGTTGCATCGCCCGCAGGGCCATTTCTGGCTGCTGCCCGTCAAGGCCATGGGTGGCCACCCTGCGTTATACACTCCGAGAAGCCCCGCTAGTGCACAACACTCCGCACCCAGGCCAACGTTGAGCCAGATCAGCGGTGGCAACCGAGTATGATCGATGGATATGTTAGCGTATTCCCATATGCCTTGTTAATCGCGTAGTACTGTGTATGCTGGTCCCATTTCCCCCCACTGACCGTGACCCGCCTTTACATTGTGCGTACGTTGCACAGCATGCATAGCACCCCACCCACCATCCCTCCGTACCTGTAATGGAAAGAGCAAGGAAGAATCGTATCGTGTCGGCATGGTAGACGGCGTCGTTTACTGACTGGGACGGGTGGGCTGGTTGTTGCCAGGGAGGCTTTTCCCCAGGGCATTTCTCTGTAGCTCCGCTTCCCGTTCTGCTTGAAACTTCAGGGCCGGTTCGTATATCCTACCATCTGGGACAAAACGTATGAGTTTGGCGAGGCTCTCAACGTCCATGCTGATTGATTTTTTGATATTATTGTGTCACTCTTCCTCTTCGTCTGTGCGCCGTTCGTCTGTGCGCCGTTGGGCACGCCAGCTATGCCCAACTGCCCTAGGGGGGCTCCCCTTGGGCGGCACCCTCATTGCTTGATGCTGTCGCCGTCGGAGGTGCAGTCTAAGTGCTTGTCCGCATCAGCCGCGGCCTGGCAATCTGCCCTGGAGTCTTTGCACTCCGGAAAACCTTGCTAGTGCAACTACCCCTTCTGACCATTGTGATGCAGCACTCCGAGAAAACCTCGCTGATGCCACCACCCCCTCCGTCTTCAGCGGCGCCGACGCTGAAGTTCCCGCTCCACCACCATCCTCTCCAGCTCCGACTTGGGTGCCGCCGACTGGGATTTTTTGCCTCACACGTAAACGAGTAGCAACCCCATCTTCAGGTTGTGGCCCGCGAACTGGTCCAGCTTCGCCATGGTGTTTTCCTTCATGTCCTTCGGGAGCACCGCTCTGAAGTTGGGAGGCTCGTTGATGCCGATCTGGATTTTGCCTGAGCCCTCTTCCCAAAATTCCTGCTCGTCCTCGTTCGGGTTCCTGTTCTTGTTGTTGCGCGCCTTGTAGCTCTCGCTGACCTTGCGCATCTTGATCGTCTCCGTGGTCATGGCCTGGCTGTGCTCGCTGTTGTCCGCCATCAGCTCCAGGAAGTCGTTCAGGGTGTCCACTGCTCGATCTATCGATGCCGGTACTGCTGTGTTATCTCATTTCTGCCAGCCCGACACCATTTCTTGGATGCCTTCCAGGAGCGCCACCCCCGTGTCAAGATGCCTGGTGGCCCCATCTTGTGAGGATCGTGTGCCTCTTGCCCTTCTCCCTGATCTGGTTCCCGTGGTTCTGCCCCAGTGCCATCGGCTTCCGAAGTGCCCCACTGCTGACTGGCATGAGGAAGATGTCCGAGGTCACGTGGCTCATATCTCTGATCTCTGCTGCCGAGCGGAGGACCAGCCGCTGGAGCCCGTTGATACACCCTCCGAGGTCGAACTCCCCGTAGTCGTCAGCTGCGCGTGGCTGGCGGCTGGGGGGGTCTGCGCCCTCCTCCTCCTCCGCCTTTGTCGCAGGAGCAGGAGCAGGAGCACGAGGAAGAGGAAGAGGAAGAGGAGGAGGAGGAGGAAGAGAGGGAGGAGGAGGAGGAGGAGGAACAGGAGGAGGAGGAAGAGGAGGAGCAAGAGGAGTGAGGATGATGGAGGAGTAGGGGAAGGAGGAGGAGAAGGAGGAGAAGCAGAAGGAAGAGTGGTGATGAGGATAAGGAGGGAGGGATGGAGGGAGGGATGGAGGGAGGGATGATGAGGAGGAGGAGGAGGAAGAGGAGGAGGAGGAGGAGGAGGAGGAGGAGGAGGAGGAGCGGGAGGAGGAGGAGAAGGAGGAGGAGGGGGAGGAAGAAGGAGGAGGAGGAGATAGGAGTAGGAGGAGGATTGATGATGATGATGATGATGATGATGATGATGATGATGATGATGATGATCATGATGATGATGATGGTGATGATGATGATGATGATTATGATGATGATGATGATGCTGATGATGATGATGATGATGAGGAGGAGGAGGAGGAGGAGGAGGAGGTAGGAGTAGGGAGGGAGGGAGGAGGAGCGAGGTCGGCAGGAGGAGGAGAAGGAGAGGAGTTGATGTATATGACGGTAGTGGCGATGTCTAATGATGACGATCGATGGTGATGATGGTGATGATGACGACCACGATGATGTTGATGATAATGCTGCTGATGATGGTGATGCTGATTACGATGCTGCTGCTGATGATGATGCTGATGATGGTGATGGTGATGCTGCTGATGATGATGATGGTGATGATGGTGATGCTGATGATGATGCTGATGATACTGATGATGGTGCTGGTGCTGGTGCTGGTGCTGGTGATGATGTTACTATGGTGGTTGATGGTGATAGCGATGATTGTGGTGGTGATGGCGATGGTGATGGTGATGGATGACGATGGTGACGATGATGATGGTGATGAGGATGGTGGTGTTTGTGATGATGATGCTGAGGAGGTGGAGGAGGAGGAGGAGGATTATTATTGTTGTTGTTATAATTGATAGTCGCCTGGTTAATTATAATAATAGGATGATGATGGTGCAACGGGCGAAGCTACGACGCGACCTTCCTAGCTGATAAGCGTCGGGCAAACCAAAAGGGGACGGGGGGGAGGAAGTCGGCAGCCCCTGCGGGTACCGCTCGGGCGGACCAGGCCCTGCCGGGAGCGGACCCGAGGTCGCCAAGGCCCTCGACGAGTGGAAGTACATCGAGGCCCTGCCACGCGCGCGCGCTCTCGCGCCCGCGCGCCCGCGCGCGGGCTCCCCGGGCCCCCACCTGGAGCGAGGAGGACCGCCCCGGCAGGAGCCCACACGCGCAGAACCGCCCCCTAGCTCTGGCAGGGGGCCGCTTTGGCAGAGGACCGCCCTGCCCTGGCAGAGAGGACCCCTCCGGCAGAGGACCCCTCCGGCAGAGGCCCGCTCCTGCAGAGGACCGCCCTGGCAGAGGACCGCTGCGGCAGAGGCTTGCTGCGGCAGGGGTCCGCTCGAAGGTCGGGCCCACTTCCTCGAAAGCCCGCCCGCTCGCTTGAGCTTCCCGCTCTCGCCCGTCGGGGCCCGCCCGCCCCGGTGGGGCTGTGGGCCACCAGAGAAGGCGCTCGGGTTTTTGCCCCCACGTGGTTGCGGCCGTGTCAGGAGGGACAGCAGGATTGCCCATGACGTGCCGCTGCTAGGCCTGACCAAGTCTTCGTTTATGGGGAGAATCATGGTGGCATCGCGCGGCGCGTAATGGTTGTACGATCCAGTCCACGCGTCAGCTCCGTGAGCCATGGGTCGACGCTCGCGCGGCGATGCTCTGGCGTCAGACCGACGTACATCCGACGTAATTCCGACGTAGTCCGACGTGAACCCTAATCGGATTACGTAAATCCGACGTGGATCCGGCGCAAATCGGGTCTCAAGTTGCCGCGCAAGACCTCCAGGAATGTCTTCGTAAGTTTGTTAATGTCGGCGGAGAGCGAGGGGGGGAAGGGAGAAGGAGAGAAGGAGAAGAACTTCTCAGAAGGCGGGTGGACTTCTCAGAAGGCGTGCCTCTGGGAAAGGCGTAGAAAACTTCCTAGAGGCCGGGGGACCTCCGAGCCTTCTGAAAAGGCCCGCCCCTTCTCACTTCCCCCCTGGGCTCGCCGCCGAATGATGGCGTCGTGGGGAAAATCACGCGCGCCCCAAGTTTTTGGCCAGCTTCGGCCTCGGGGGGCCCTCGCTGGGCCCCAGAAGTGTCGAACATCGACTCGGGAGGAAAAGCCGGCCCTGGGGAACGGGTTGGGGGCTTTCGGTGACCGCGTATGGGTACAACGAGACATCGGCAACCAGCCTCGAACTCATCCCTGTCCCTACTCTGGGTCTCTTAATAGGCGTCGGGGGGAATCCCCCCGACGGGGGTCAACCTCGCCTCGTCGTCGCGACGGGGGTCGGAGCGCCTTCGGCGCGCTGTGGCTGCCCGCGACGGGATTCGATGTGGAGCTGTCGGCGGGGGTGACGCCCCCCCCAACGCTTATCAAGAAATTCGGAGTAAGATCGGCAAGCCAAAGGCGATGACAATCTTAGGGCTTCCCCCCCAGGCGCGCCGCCTCAGCTCGGAGGTCCTCTCGACTGCCCCGCCCCGCGGTGCTGGCCTTACCTCCGCGTTTTGTTGGGGGATTGCGCGAGCAAGGCGGTGATGTCTGCCCCATTTTTCAAGCTCCGTTGATGCCGATGCCCGCCCTGCTTTGCCGTCGCTGTTCTCTAGCAGCGGCTGAGTTCTTTCCATCGTGGGGCGATTCGTTCTTCTCAGGCGTGATGTGCATGTGTGTGGTTGTGTCTTCGTCGCGCGGTTTGTCGCGCGCGCCGGCGATGCTTCCCTTTTGTTGCTGAAATTCAGGAGGGGGAAAACACACAGACTCAAGTACTCGTCGATTCCACAGAACGTATATGGAAGAGTATGGGAAGTGGGGGGGTGGAAGACAAACACCCAGAACATATGGGAACATATGGGGAGCCCTGTTACCTGTGCTTCTTTGTTCCTGTGTCCCTGGGCCCCTCCAGAATCGACTAAACGTAAGAGTGACCTTCCGCCGGAGTGACCTTTAGTGCGGGCACAGATGGGCCCCCAGATGGCTGAAAACGAAGCAGTAGGAACTGGTTGCGCGCCCAGATTTGGTCTCCGTGCGGCCCCCAAGAAGCCGTGCACCAAAGGTCACTCTTACCCAGGGTCACTCTTGCGTGTAGCCGACAGAAGTATCCGCCCTGCCCTTCTCGGAGAAGACCAGAAGCAGACCCCGCCACGAGGGGCCGAGGCGCGGGCCGCCGGCGCTCCCCCCCCCCCCACGCACAGCACCCTGCAGCGGAGGCCCCCTGCCGAGGAGGCACCCGCCGCCTGCCTCCGGGGCGCCCCCGCGGGTCTGCTGTGGTTTCGCTGCTCTGGCCATGGAGATCGGGGAGGAGAAAGCCACGGCACAGACGTAAAACTGTTGGCGCTCCGCGCGGGCTGCTCGGCTCGGCGCCCGGGGCCTCCGGGGCGGCGCCTGCGGCGCCGCCCCGGGGGGGGTCTGGCGCAGGTCCAAGGGATCCGCGCGGAGCGCCAACAGCTTATGCTTATGCCGTTTTTGCTTCTTCTAGGAACGCGTGACGTTCCCACACCCAAAATCAATGGACGCCCTGGAGTCTCAGGGTTGGACTTCTGATGGAAGGTTTCCTGTGGTCGAGCTCCTACTGCATGGGCGTGACACCAGGAGGCGGCAGCAATCCACACTGCGACGGGCAGCAGCAGGAGCAGGAGTAGAAGGCCCTCCGAGAAGCAAACAACGGCATCTACACAAACTTCCGGAGCTACGCGCGGAGTTTTCGCATTGGCGCTGACACCCCCTCCATGGCGCGCGGAACGCGCCGCCAGGGGGTCCGGCGCCGATCCCAGGACTCCGCGCGCAGTTCCGACATGGTTATGTTTTTGCGTGTTTGCTTGTAGGAGGAGGAGGAGGAGGAGGAGGAGGAGGAGGAGGAGGAGGAGGAGGAGGAGGAGGAGGAGGAGGAGGAGGAGGAGCAGGTCCGAAAAGCTGAGCCCCTGGCGCGATCACACCTTTGAGGTCCGAGGAGGAGGAGGAGGAGGAGGAGGGGAGGAGGGAGGAGGAGGAGGAGGAGGAGGAGGAGGAGGAGTTACTTCAGTGATACAGCACCGTGCGAAGTCACGACCGAAGCCCCAGACCCCATCTTTCTCTGCGTCCTCTCTCGAGCCCCACGGGCCCGTGAGGGCTCCCTGGGCCCCGAGCCCCTCCGAGAACGCCCGGCTCCCAAAAAGTGAGACGCAAGGAAAGAGGATGAGGTCCCACAACCCAGCAGGAGGAGGAGGAGGAGAAAAAGGAGGAGGAGAAAAAGGAGGAGGAGGAGGAGGAGGAGGGAGGTAAGCATGAGAGGAGGAGGAGGAGGAGGAAGAGGAGGAGGAGGAGGAGGAGGAGGAGGAGGAGGAGGAGGAGGAGGAGGAGGAGGAGGAGGGACAGGGAGGAGGAGGAGGAGGAGGAGGAGGAGGAGGAGGAGGAGGGAGGAGGAGGAGGAGGAGAAGGCGGGGGGGGGGAGGAGGGGGAGGCACCCAGGCGTGCCATTGCTTTGGTTGTTTCCGTGCGCGGCCCCCGGAAGTCCCGAGCCGTTCCCCAGGGCCGGCTTTCTCGTCCCGAGCTGCTCTCCGACGGGCCCCCCGGCGGCCTGGCGAAGGCCCCCCGGAGCCCGAAGCCGCCTAAAACCTTGCTTCATGAATTCTTCTTGACTCGAAGAAGAAACAACAACTGTTCCTCATCCTCCCCCCCCCCTCCTCCTCCTCCCCCTCCTCCCCCCCCCCTCCTCCCCCTTTCCTCCTCCCCTCCCTCCCCCTCTCCTTCTCCCCGCTCCGCCTCCTCCTCCTCCTCCTCCTCCTCCTTCCTCCTCCTCCTCCTCCTTCTCCGCGTCGTTAAGAGAAGAGGAAAAACGCATAAGCATAAAATGTGTGGCGCCCCGCGCGGATTTCTTGGAGCCGCGCGTGGGGCCTCTCTTGTGTTATTGGCGCGGAGAGGGAGGAGGAGGGCGAGGCGGTGATCAGGAGGAGGAGGAGGAGGAGGAGGAGGAGGACGAGGCGGAGGACGAAGAGGGGGGGGTGACCCAAATGGGGGGTGAAGAAAAGGGGCCCCAAAAGGGGCCCTTTCGGGCGCCCTTTTGGGCCCTCTGCTGGCTCGAACAAGGGGCCCTCTAGGGCCTCTTTCGGGCCCTTCACCTCGCATTCAGGCCACTCCCCATTACCACCCGCCCGCCTGGCCCAGCAGCGCACGGGCGGGGGGCCCGCCTCGCGGAGGCCCGCGTTGCGCGGGCCGGCTGGCCGCGCGGGCGCGCGCATCCCGCCGTTCCCGTGGGGGGGCGGGCGGCCCGCGCGGGGGCCGCCATGGACAGCGACGTCCAGGCGGCCCTGGCGTTCCTGCGCAAGCACGACGCGGGGAGGGGGCGCGAGGTCTCCAATGTCGTCGACAGTCGCCGTCGATGCTCGTCGTCGATCCTCGTCGTCATCGGCCGTCGTCGCTGGCTGCCGTCGTCGTCGAAGGGGCAGGAGCGCTCCGCCGTCGGCCAAGCGCGCGAGGACAGCCCTGGCGCGCCCCCACGTGCCGCCGCGAACCAGCGGGCCGAGAACGGTGTAGCCTCGAGTCGGGCATGTCCCTGTTGGCGGTTGTTCGTGCTCTTTTGATCGTTTTTGATTATTGTTTGACTATTTCTGTTCCTTCCCGAACCAGCCTGTAGGTGGACATGCCCGACCTAAGCCCGAGGTCATCTTAGGCTGCATCGGTGGGGGCAACGTCAATCGGGGGGCGGTGGGAGGTGCAGGAGTTCGCTCGCGCGATCTGCTGCGCGAGCTTTTGCTGGGGGTGGAAGGCACGAACAGTTGCAGGGAAAGAATGCACGATTGCATCCGCGCGCAACTATTGCGTCCAGACCGCAAGCTACTGCATCCATGCAAAAAGTACGACAGCTACTGTTGCACCTAATCCGTCCCCCCCATCTGTGCTACCCCCACTACTGCGGCTTCAAATTTCGAGGATCTCAGAGGAGGTCGATTTGAGACACCCCCAGACATGCATGCGTCGTGATGAAAATCACGACGGACGCTTTCTTGGCCACGTTCGGGGCCCCAGACGGCCCTCGCTGGGGCCTCGGGACCGTCAGACAACGACTCCAGATGAAAGACTGGCCCTGGGTATTGTCGGAGCGTTGAATAAGGTCGACTTACTTTTCGAAAGGG